TGCCCACTCAGAAGCACGGCGGGTCACATTCAGCCGATGGTTGGCAGGTCCGTTTCGTGCTCGTTCGTCCTCTCCATGACGAGGTTACGAGGAGGAAAAAAAAATTTTAAAAAACAAGTTTGGGAAAACATTACGGGTAGCGTGTCTAAAAAAGGGGCCAGCATCCAGCAGAAAAACCTGCCGTTGCTTGTGGTGTCCCACAAGGAACCGTGTTGGGGCCACAACCGCTCAATGCGTCGCCGCCGTAAAGGATATCGTTCACATCGCTCACAGCAACACTCTTCACTGACAACGTCAACACTTTCCGTGTGCTGAAGTCAACAATCATGACAATGACCTGCCAAATGCGCTGACGTAAGCGATGACGTTTGGCATCCGGAAAACAAGACTCAACAAGATCAAATGGAAACAAACGAGTGGCTTCCGTTCTTTCCCGCAAAAACAAAAAGCAATCCAAATGATAAACCGAGTGAAAACGTGAAGAAGGTTTTAGGATCTGTACCGTGGTATCTCGTGGGATGGCAAAAAGGAAATAAATGAAGAAATCAAATCAGCACGTTTGTGTGCGCGTGCGGAAGCTTGTGGCAAGGCTGAGATTTCAACTCGTTCCGTCGCCAGCGCCGGCAGATAAAGCGGCTGAATCAGCACACGCGGAGCTCCGCATGCATGCTTCAAGTACTAGAGTGGCAAGGTGCAGACTGACAGCGGGCTTTCTAATGAGCGCAGGCCGGGCCCTTCTCAGAGGCACCTGTCACTTCGTTTGAATTCTTTTCCGCGTCGCTCTCTTCTCTTCTCTTCCCTCCGCGCTGGCTTTGAAATGCGAAGACGGGAGACGTCCCGTGTTCCGAATATGAGCGTCGACGGGAAGTCGTGTCGCTTGGCTCGACGTGGCCGCTCGGGTGTCCTTTTGGGGCTGCGTTCGGCCCCCGGCTGTCCTTTGGAACTTGGATTTGGAATTGTGCAGAATTAAGAGTCGTCGCGGACATCGCGTCAACGAAGGGGGCCGCCCATCGCGGTCTGCTCAACACTTTCTTTTCTTAGGTCGCATGATCTAGCGAGCTAGCGCTATTAGCCATTCGGCCGATTACCAATTATACTTTAATACACAAATGAATGTCATCATCCGATTGATAACAGGAACACATATTGAGTGTTTCAGCTTCCCTTTGCCATGCGCGGAAATTCATTGGAGTAAATTGGTCATTTAATTCACGATGCGCAGTCTGGGGTCGACACGGTCAACGCTGCGCGTGCATTGCGCACGTTTGTCCACGTGTGCGGCTGCACTGCCTTCACGCAAACGTCCTACAGGAAGTTCTCATTCTTGAGGATAAAGACAACTACCGACGTCATGGAGCGTTGCAGCTCAGCCGGACCCCGACGTTCTTTGTGATCTTTGCCATGACGTGTTTGTCGTCCAACGGAGGCGCTTCGTCCGGGTCTCTTTCCTTGAAGGTCTTCCCGAGCCCCGCCGTTGACCCCGCCGACCTCCCTTCTCGCCGCTCCCACTTTAGCCCGCACCGCTCCCTTTCCTACGAAGGCCCGGACGGGGCGGTCGGTGGGCTCGCAGCCCGCCTGCACTCACTTCACCGGATCTCGTCCGCATCGGCGGCGGCCAAAGTGACAGCTGTCGGCGCTCACCTTCCGTTCGCCCTTGAAGAGAGGCCCCCCCCGCAGGAGGAGGGGGCGGCACGCAAGCGCAAAGCGATGGAAAGCGGGTGGGGAAAGGGCGGCGGGCCAAGACAGGGGACACCGGATCGGAGAACAATTAGCTGCACGGGGGTGTCGAACTGCGGTCCCGGAGGGTCGCTGTCCCGCAGGTTTTCCGAGTCTCCCTTTTGCAACGCACCTGATTCAAACGATCAGATCATCAGCAAGCTCTGCGCAAGCCTGACATCGAACCTGTTCATTTGAATCAGTGCGTCGCAACAGGGAGAGATAGAAAACATGCGGGACAGCGGCCCTCCGGGACCCGAGTTTGACACCCCTGATTTTATGAGCACTTTGGATCGTCACTCTGAGAGAGGCGCGAATCGAACAAGATGCCGCGGATGCGAAATGGCATCGCAACCGTCAAACGACGCCATTTTCCTCCTCGGCACGGGCCAGGCGATCAAACAAACGGCACTGAGAAAATAGAAGACATTTTTCAGCATCTTCAAAAGCAGACCCGCTTTTGAAGATGTGCGCCGACGCGGGACGACTGCGTTGATGGCGCCGCAAAGGATAACGGAAGAAAGCTTCTGCTTGGGACTGTGTGAAAGTGTGGCAGAGAAGGCTGGCAAAGGGCATTCGACGACACAGTGGATGCGTTTCAAAGGGGAACCGGTTGGCGTTAGCGTTTGAAATGGAGCGATTGTGAGTCTTGGAGCTTTTCTGACATACCATCTGTGTTGGACACCCAAATAAAATAAGAAAATAGGAGACAAAATAAGGCTTGTTTGGGGTTTTTTGGGGGTGTTTGCTTTTTTGAACCCTTTGAATTGCAGGCGGTCTGATTTGGCCTCGCGGCGCCCTTAGGGCGACTCGCCGTTCTTTTGTGAGCAGCGCCATCTGCTGGTGAGTTGAAGAACTCCAAAAGGAAGATCCGCGCCGTTCGCGTCTGCCGCGGATTGAATCGCGGATGGATTGCCGGCCGCGGCCCAAGTGGGCTTTGATTTGAGCTCAGTCTGAAAAGAAAGTGGAACAATTGCGTCGGACGAAAGAAGTCAGCCTGCACGTGCCGAGCCGAGACTCAATGTCGCTTGGAGATTTACAATTCACGTCAAACGGATCTTTCGTCACTGCTCATTTAGTCGACGTGTTTTATTGTTACTCTCGAAAGGCAGTGACGAGACTTTCGTCTGTCACTTTTTGGAACATCAAATGAAATGGTTATTCTGAAGCATTCTGTCTGTCTGAATTGAAGTTTTTTTTTTTGTTTGTTTTTTAAATCAGTGTTAATTTGTGTGGCCGGATGTCTCGTGTCAAAGTGTGTGTGTTTGTGTGTGGGGGGGGGGGGTTCAGCCCTCCCTGAAGGGACCCAGCTGGGACTCCTGCGGGGTCCCAAATCCCTAATCAATGGCAAGCGAAAACGGTTGGTTCAAGAGCTCAGGGCCCGTAGCAGTGAAAGGTCGCCTTATTGAGCCTTTCCGCGCAGATCCACTCCGCCCAGCAAGAAACAACAACAACAACATTCAGCTTTCGCTCCGCCTTTGTCGTGCGTCCGGCATCTGAAGCTCGAATGCTAACACGCGCCCTAATGACGCTCTCAGCACATGAATAAATAACGCGGGCGAGCACGCATGCGCGCGTGCGGCAGAGTCACTGTCTTGATTCCTAGACACACTCATGCACTTTTAATGGGATCCCTTTCGAAGACGCCGAGATTCCGCTGCCGACCGCAACCTTTTTCCACCCAGCGCGCATAAGAGGGGGGAGATGAATTCCGCGTGCGCGCAAGAGGCGTGAAAAACGCTCAGGTCGCGCCGACCCAGGGGTACGATTTCAAGTTGCCAAAGGGAGGGCAAGCGAACGCAAACCCCAAGGCCCGACATGAAACCGCAACCTCCCGCGAAGGCGCACGTCGCCTCGTGCGAATCGAGATTTCCCCCTCGCTGAACCTCCGACGCAAATTCCTCGCCGTGTCATCGATGGCGCATTTCGCAAAGGTTCCATTTCATACGGCGGCTCATCCTGCAGCAGCAGCGCCGACACGTGCGCGGCAGTTTGTGCACATTCCTCGGGTCGAAAACGAACAGAAGAATGAATTCAGAAATGAGAATGAAATGGAATGTTGTGCCATTCTTCCTTTGACCTGAAATGGAAGGAAGAAATTATGAGTACGATTTTAGTAGCTCGCTCATAATACACCGACATCCAAAGAGTGTCCAAGATTCTCGATGTACTGTTTAGCATTTCATCCAAAATGTTTGCTGTTCCAAAATGTCTCAACGCAAAGTCGTTTTGCCACATGTCCTATTTCCATCCGTATTTGAGAAGAAAAAAAAAAATTCATCTTGAAAAAATTCCGGTGCGAGGGTTACCAAAAGAGCCGTCGGGGATGGAAGTGATTTGTTGAAATACTTTTGAAAAGCCGGCCGGCTCAATAAAAAATGGAACAACACGGCGGCGGCTGCTGCGTACCATTTTTTGACGAGAGCACTTAAGTGCCAGAATGCAGAGGAAATACAGGAAGTGCGCGCGCGTTACATGAGCTTACACGAGTCGAGGAGCAAATGTTTGTGGTTTTGACTTTTCATTTATTCATTTATTTATTTGTTCTCTTGTGAAGGGGATGACATCTGAATTATGGAACAGTCCCCTTTCTCTCCTTAAGTAAAAAATAACATCTGTCCGGCAAATGGAGAGCTTAGTGTTTCTCTATAATTAATGGTAAAAGCCTCCAGAGTCGCACATCAAATATGCATCTTCTACACGGGACCCCCGCCCCCAGAACAAAGAGCAAGAGAACGAAGGGTGGCGGCGGCCAGCACAAGGAGAGGAAGCAAACAAAAAAATAAATATATATATCAGAAAGCCCTTGGTCATGTGATGAGCATCGGGTCAACATCATTGTACTTTTGCCTTTGTTGTGATTAAAACATTTGCAATCTTTTACCACTCAATACATCATGGTGAGATAAAGGATATTATGGTTCAGTATGATGCAAGTACTGTTAACGTATGTTGGCTTTTTTTTTTAGTGTACCGACCGTTTTACGGACGTTCAATGGTGACCGACTGATACAATAAATTAAAGAGGCGCCACCATGTGGCGCGACAGCGTACTACAATAACGGACTGTTCCGAAGTGACAGCCACTCACACACACACGCGCACACACACACGCACACAAGATGTGTGTGGAATTTTAATTAAAAAAATCATAATAATACGCATACCATAATTTAGGATTTCGCGGTGATAATATTCGTTAATTGACGTTTTTGAAATATGGCCATGAGTACTTTGACGGCGAGCCTGCGATGAGCTGTGTTTCCCGAGTATCCCCGGCTGCGGAGAGGCGTGGCTCAACGTAGCATGGACAGAAACGTTTGACCCCGGATTCTGGGCGACTTTTTTTATTTTTAATATTTCCTTAGTGAAGTCGCGCTTACCTTTTCAACACTTTCTTGGTCAGGGTGGAGCTTATTGAACCGTTTGACGGCAATGGTAGAAACGGCCATTTTTGTCGTCCGTTCTGGGTGAACAGAGGTTTGTTGAGCCACGGAAGCCCGCCAAGCCTGTTGAGGTCTGTTCTAAGTGTCATAGGGTTCAAAGGTTGCGGTCAAAAGACCTCCTCCGCTGAGAAATGGGTTGGATGGGCGCAGTACTACATTTCCCCAGCAGAGGGCAGATTCCCGGTTTCGGCTTCAGGCAGTTTCTACTTTTCGGTGTCAGAGAATTGTAAAAAATATATATTTAGCGTGATGTCATAAGACGGCGCATCGTTAAAGGAAAGTAGTTCAACAAAAAAAGAGGAAAAAAGAAAGCGCTTGGAACCCAAGTGGGCGAGGTCAAACGTGTAAAGTGGTCGACTTACTCGTTCTTCTTGTGCTTTGGCACGGAGCCTTTGGCCACGGTGTGCTCCTCGCCGGACCGAAATTGATGTGGGACAGAAGCGATGTCAAGATGGCGGCCGCCTTGCTCCAGATGACTTGTAGGTACAGGGGAATGTTAGCAGTCAGGGCGACGGGGATCAGGCCGCTGATACCTGGTCTCGTCCCGGCTCACTTTCGGGCCTTCGCCGTGCGAAAAGAGCCGGAATTGGAAGACAACCCTTATTACAACAAATACCAGGAAAAGATCCAGAAAATGCGCAGGTCAGTCGGACAGCTGATGTGATACATGTACGCAGGTGGCGGAACTCTGTTCCCACGAAGCCCTTAAAAGTGCAAAAACGGTACAGTATCTCTTGGCAGCCACGACCAAGAGACGAATATGTGTTGAGCCGTTGAATGCCCCCTTCACTTCGCGAGGTGTTTTTTTTTCTCCTGTTAGAGCAGTGCTTCTTAACCTGGGTTCGATCGAACCCCAGGGATTCGACGGATTTTTTTTGGAATATTTTAATCCATGCTAACGATGTCGAGCAAAAAAAAAAAAAAAAAAAGGTCGGACCAATATGTAGTACTGTACATGGATTCACATGCATCACAGAACGTGATGGGAATGAGCATCCTATCTGCGTGATTTGTCAACTCGGGTCTCAGACCGGCAAAACTGAAGGAACACTTCTTGAATCCGATTTTTATTTTTCAGTAATGAAGGGTTTAGTGAATGTGCGGATGAATTGGTCGGGTCCGGTACCTCTAACAAGGTAAAGAGCCAGCCAGCCACCACTGTGTTTGACCAAGTCTGTCCCATCCTATGTGAACGCTTATTCTCAACTCCAGTATCATCCCTGCCTCGCAGCACAGTTCGGTAGTGGTGAGCAAGTGTGCCTGACAGTCAGCGGTTTCCCGTTCGAATCTCTTTTGGCTGCCTGCGTGTTGTTCCGAGATAGTCGAAGGAACGCCGTCCGCTCCGTGCTGCCGCTTGCCTTTCGAGTACCAGACCGAAACCGTCATAATCGCCAAACCTTTACCGAGTGTCAGTGTCCGGGCAATATTTTAATGGGTAGAATCGAAATGGGATTGCAACGCAACACTGCCACAGAGTGGGTTTTTTTTTTTTTTTTGTGCTGTTGCTGAAAGTAGTCACTTGTACGTCTGGCGCCAGTTGAACTCCAAATTGCCCATCTTTGGGGTCGTCAGTGTCCACGCGATCCGATCAGGCGAATCGACCGCCCGGTTTCTGTGTCTCCATTTTCAGTTGCAAGCCTCAGGAGTTCAAGGCCAGAATGGAGAAACGCCACGAGTCCAAGAAAGAAGCGCTGGGACGCTCCGAGCAAGCGGAGTTTGTCAGAGTGGTGGAGCGGCAGGTTGGCGAAAATCAAACGCCGATCGCAAAGAACTCCGCCGCGGCGCTCGCTCTACCTTTTTGTTTTGTCTTTGCAGTCGGAGGAGCGCCGCGGGTCGGCGGCTGCCGAGAGAGCATCCGGAGCTTTTGCCCAAAATAAGGTGCGGCCTCATGCTTATCTTGCTGATGCTGCTGCTGGTCAGGAGGATGACGGCGGTTGCGTTCTGTTCCGTAGTCGCTGGGCTCCATCCTCAACCTGGAGCTGATCCAGGACAAGACGGGCGAAGAGATTGCAGAGGTGAGACGTGGCCTTTTTGGGTCTATTTTGTTTTTAACAACACTTATTTTGGTGCTGAGAAAGTTTCCTCAGAGTGTTTGGATGTTGCCGAATCCGAAGATGGTGTTGTTGGAAAAGGTGGTTCTCCTCATGACTGCGAATCCCCAATTTTTTTCACGGCGGTGCTTCCTGCTTCCTTGACCGCCGTTGACGTCGCTCAGCTTTGGATGAAATATTACGCCAGCAAGGACACCATCGGCGCCGTTATCCCGGTGAGCGCCGCACGTGACAACATCAAATGCATCTCCAAAGTGGTTTTTTTTTTTGGGGGTCCTTTTCCTGCGCGGCGCAGGCGCATGGCGCATGAGCGGCTCAACGCACTCGATCCAATGTGTTTTGTATTTCTCTCCGCAGAGTCACACCTACGAGCTCATGAGCGCTCGGGCCGAGTCGTGTCCCACGGTAAGCGGGAGCGGCGCCGCTTTTCTCCTTCACACGTGTTGGTGGCGCTCGGCTGAGTTTGCTTTCGGGCTCCGCTGAAAGAATATCGAAAAGACAACAGCGGCCAGTCGTCGTGAGCGGGGTTCGAATAGTTTGGGAATTTTCCTTTTTTTTTTTTCATGTCATTCCCCAAAACATGGGCTAAACTCTGTTCGCAAACGTCACGTCGCTGTTGGGCGTTGTGACGTCAAGGCGCGCCAAGCCCCGCCGTTTCCACCCGCTCACCATGGTGAATGTTGGCTCTCCCATTTTGTCCTCCAGTTCTTGTATGCGTTGCCGCAGGAGGAGGGCTATGAGTTCTTTGTGGGTCAGTGGTCCGCCCACCGCCTCCATTTCACCTCCCTCATCAACATCCAGGTGAACAGGCGCCGATGTTTGCCTCTCAAAAGTCACCCGTTTGTTTCCTTTGCGGAGTTGCGGGCCGTCAAGTGGCCTTGATGGGGTTTTTTTTTTTTTCCTCCTGTCGCACAGACTCATGGCGAGAGCGCTCCCAGCCAGATGATCCTCCATCACTTCCCGGACTTGAGGGAGGACAAGGGCATCGTGCTCATGACGGCCGAGCTGGACCCCAAGTGCATCGTAAGTCGGCAAAGCGCCAATTTGGGAGCACAACTGGCGACTTTTTTTCTTGAGTTTGACCCTGAGTTTTCGTTGACATGAGCACGATAGAAGCAGGAGAACTCAACTCAAGTGTATTTCTCCAGCACTTGAAAGCTACCAGCTGTGCGGCGAGCAAAAAAAGAATTCAAACAAGAAAGCAACGGATTCATAGCCAGGACAGTTCAGAACAAAGTCTCACGCTGAGTCCAAAGCCTAAGAATACAATACATTTTGATTTATGTAGAATTAAAAAAAAAAAAAAAAAGTTTTCCCCTCAAAGGCTCCGTTGAGTCCTCGGTCGGTAGCTCAACTCGTGTCCGGTCCGCAGACCTGAGGCACGGAGCTCCGAGAGCTAAGGGTGGGGACGGCCCACTTCCAGATTGGAAAACAATTAAGCGAAGCTTTTCAAAGAACTCCCAAATGTAGGAGTGATGCGCTCCGTCTTACGAGTAGCGGCAGCATTCTGGACCAACTGGAGACGCCTCACGGAGGATCGTCTGACTAACGTGTCTTAACGCCGCGTGTATTTTCTTTCCCCTCGCGGCAGACCGTCCCGCAGGCTCAGTGTTTGGCCAATCAGGTGCAGCTCTTCTACGGCGCCGGCGGGCAGCGGACCTTCGGCTTGGTGGAGACGTTTAACCACCGGCCGGCAGACTTCAAACACACATCGGTGATTGCCGAGCTGGAGCAGAGCGGCGTCGGGCCCACGCTCGGCCCTCCGTCCTCAAGCGGCCGCTGAGGCGCGCCGCGGCGCGATGGCGCCATCCCGCCACCGCCCGATCCGAAGGGATGGCGCTGGAGCGCCTCCGTTCAGACAGATGAAGCGCTTCTCTTGCACGAGTGCCGGGGCTCCCCAGATTCCTGACTTGCGACCGCTCCACTTGGGACCGAGGGACATTTTGGAGCTCATTTGACACGGCCATTGTCATGTGGTCCAATTCGGAGCTGAGGTTCTGACCGGTCACTTTGCTCCTGAACTTTTTGACCCCTCTGCAAGAACGCTGAAATGAAACTTTCTTCCGAATTTTACCCGCGCAGATTTAAATGACCTGCTCTGGAAGGTTTCCGTGCCAAAACGCCTCTGTCAGTCTTTTTTTTTTTTTTTTTTTAAACAAAAAGTCATTGAAGGGTCCTTTTGCTACCCCCCCAGCCCCTTTTGAGTCATCTGCAAAATAATCATAATGCATCATCAACACTTGCAGCAGCTGTCGAATGCATCGCAATCATTTTGGGTCACCCTCTCCGTACAGATCAATCCAAACCCACCCATGTTTGAATGTTTGTTTGTTTTTTTTCATTGGCGACATGGGGCGTACCACAGTAAACACGGAACAGAGGAAGCGAAGGAGTCATCCGAGAAGAGAACGTCAGTTATGCACAAACACGGAAACGGTCGAGGCCGTAAGGCTGTCTGGAAGTCGTTTGAAGTTCTCGCAGCTGCAAGTGAACATATTCAGACGTGTTAAGAGCCTTTGCTTTGGGGGGGGGGGCAGTGGAGGGGAGGCGATTGCTCTCAATACATGACCGCGACGTCTCCTTGACTTCTTGTACGTTGTGTTTCAGATGTATCCGGGAAAGTAAACAATAAAGCGATTTTTGCAGGCCGGGTGACCCCCTGTGGATTTGAGAGCACGATTCTGGGCCAAAAGTCAAAAGAGCATCGAGGCCTCGATTAAGCCGTGAGTTTTCACCGCACTTGCGGTCCGATTTATTGGGCATTTACCGTATGCGTCAAAGTGCTCGCCGGAGGTTTTTGATCGGCCGGCCTCTGAAATGAGCGACTTGACTGCAGGGTCGTGGTTTCCAAACGCCGTTTCTCGGTGCCGTCCGTTCTCGCTCGGGTAACCGCAACCGGGCCAGGCTCCAAGTGGCTCCTGCGCAGTCCTGTGTCTCAGTACGTGGCCCCCGTGTCTCCAAAGGGCAAATTGAGCGTGCTTCCCGGTCTGCGATGAGTGCGGGCGCCTTCCCTTTTCTTCCTGTTCCAGTTGAGGAAGGAGGCCGGGCCGCGTCCTTTGGCCGAGCGAGACGTCGGCCTCTGGTCGGCGTTCTCTTTGCCGCGGCTGTGAGCGACTGCCGCGGCCCTCTTCTCGCCCTGTTGATACGCAAAGACGTTGCGTTAGCCGCGGCGCACGGGAAACCTGGAAACACAAATGTGCTACTCCGGAGTTACCTGAGCATCGTGCGAGAGGAGCGCGACCACGGCGACCCGCGCTCCTTTGACATCGCGGTTCTGAAGCAAGCTCACCACCTCGGCATGCTTGGCCCACTTGCAGTCCCGGCCGTCAACTGACACGATGTAGTCGCCCTCCCGCAGTCCCGCCTCCTGAGCAACAAAGGTCGTTATTTCGGAGAGTCAACCAGTCGGTCGGTCAAAGACCTCGGTTTAGTAGAAATTGTCCAAAACCAAGGAGTTTAAAAAAAAAAAAAAAAAAATCCATCTGAAAGCATCTGATTTTACTTTGGACAACAATAAAAAAAACATCTTTGCATATGGTGTGACATGTTCCGGAGCAATCGCACAGCTCATTGACTTGGAAATGGCAAAAGGTGAAGCGTCGCGTCTCACCGCTGCGCAGCCTCCGGCCGCCACGCCGGCCACCAGGACGGGCGAGTCGCCTCGGAGCGTGAGGCCGAGGCCGCCCTCCGTTCTCGGCAGGCAGACGGAACGCGCCGGCCCCCGGCGGGTGTGCCCGCAAAACACCGACAAGGGCCCCTCCGACACACAAAGCACAAGAGTCGGCATCGTTTGAAGCGGCTTTTCCCGAAGAACGCCGCCAGCGTGTGTGGGCCAAAGGCTTTGGTCCGTACCAATCTGCGGAAGATATCCGCCACCCGGACGGCGGCAAAGTTGGGCGGGGCGATGTCTGGCTTTTGCCGGCTTTGAGCTGACGACGCAGAGAGCCGCACTGTTTCAGGAGCGCGTGCTTCAAGCGGAGCGAGTGCCGCGGCGCCGACTTACGCCGAATCTCCGGCGCCTCCAGCGTTGGGTCAAAGTCGTCCTCTCGGTCCAGCTCGGAGTACTTGTCCAGCGAGCGCTTGTGCGTCGCCGCCAGCACGTCCTGCAGGATGTCCATCTTCCTGAAGCTCTTACACACGCCGTGCAGCCGCATGGCTTCTTCGTGTCTCATCACCGCGTGCCGCAGGTGGGCTTTACCTTCCAACGCAATGGAAGAGCGCCATTTGGCACAAAGAGAGCAAACGGAGGCATTTTTTTCTTTCTTTCTCTCAGCGGTTGAACGTCTGGACCGGGACTGACGTGTGTGTGTGTGTGTGTAAACTCACCTAACTTTCGTCTTTGCTGGGAGTCTCTTAAAAGCCGGCCGAGTGGCGGCCCCGCGCGCGCGCCCACATAAAAGTGAACAAAGGCCTTTTCCGCTTCCTCGCTGACGTCTTCGGACATGATGACGGCATAAAAAGTAGACCCATAATGCCATATCCCACAGCATAATAGTTTTTTTTCCCCCCAAATAAAAATAAAAAGTCATTGTCAAACATTTGCTTTTACCTTGGAAAAAAAGCATCAGCACTTTCTGACAAATGTTCTGGACCAAGCCCACAAGTGAATCCGAATTCATGTACATTTTCTGCACTGCCAATTTGAAATCATGTCCTGTTTTTTTCATATGGGGACGCAAATTTAAACATGTTTTCTTTTGTTTTGGTGTGATCCATCAATTCAAAATAGATGTTTTTAAAATGAGGCCCGAAATACCCCGCGTGGCCCGGCGTTACTTACACGTGGGTCCGCACAGCACGACGGCGGCAAAGTAGTGGGAAAGCGCACGGAAATGTTCCACCTTGACCTGAACCATCGACGTCCAGGAAAAGGGAACGTAGTCCTTCATCAGCGGCTGCGACATGCTCTGCTGCACCAGCAGGTAGACGTCCGACACCTGCGGGGGACGCAGGCGACATACGTGAACGCGCGCGCCGAGCAGGTCGGC